TTCTACATGTACTTATATACCTTTAAATTTTAATTAATTTAAAAAATATATATATGGATAACAGTTAGTTGACCCCGCTTACAATTGTTTTGTTAAGATAAATTAGTAATTACCAAGTATCACTAAAAATCAACTTGCTTATCATTATATGATGTCGCTCTGACTTGCAACATAGCATGACAACGTGGTTGCCATGGCGTTCAATAGCAATGCCCACCCTACCTAGAAATCCAAGACACAATGAACATCCCCTTTCGGTATGTCAATGCGATCCAATGAGCAACTCATTATTATTATTTTTTTTATCAACTGAGCAGCTCCAATTGCAACCCTTGTAATGTGTTGGAATGAGCTATTAACAGTAGTGTCTCAAAAGCATTGAAATCTATTATTATATATTATTATTATTATTATTATTTTAGTGTGACATCTATGATTATTTTATTGGTACCAGTTCCATGGTTATATTTGTATTCGAAATGGTTTTAACTACCACTTTAGAATTAGTCTCTGCTGTAATGTTGGTGTGGTTTTCCATTTATGCCTTTTTCAACCCTAGCTACATTATAAGCTTCAATCAGAAGAGCAGAAGAAGATTGAATAATAATAGTACCTGTCCTCGAACCACTAATCCCCTAGTATCTCTCATAATAACTCCAATAGCTGCTTCCATGCTCAGGATCAAAGGCCCCCTCACATTTGATTTAGACAAATGTAGAACTGACCTTATGTTCTGAATTCAAAAAGATCAAGTATTACTGAAATGCTCTTCTTACGGACTTTAGCAAATCCTTAAAGTGCTCTTCCCTAAATCAAATCAAAACTAGTAATTAACTTTATAGATTAGGCATGCATTGTTTAAATAAAGATTTTACAAACCGCGTCTAGATAACAGTAGAACTCAAATATTTATGAAGACTAGTGCATGACAATCGCAATTTAACACAAGGAGCAATGTTTTACCACACAAAATACAAAGAGTGGAAGAAGGTCTTGACATGTCCTGCTAATTTGGCCTGATTTCGATGCCTTCAATAATGACACCGCCCTTCCAGCGACCATTGAAACGAAAAATCCGTATTTCCAATTTGCCATCTTGACCTCCTTCATTGAAGAATTCACCCAACTCTAGCTCTAACCAACCATCTTCCCTCTCTATTGGGTATCAACCATCTTCCCTCTCTATTGGGTATCGGTAATCATTTTGTACATCTTCACCTTCTGCATGCAGAAACACAGTTCGTTGTAAATCTCCAGTTCCACTAAGTTGAATAGTAGCTTCTATAGGTTCATTTCCAAATCCATAAACTGTGGCTGTCAGCTTGAACACAAGGTATGCTTTATAATGTGTCATTGAAGAAAGCTTGCAAGTACTAATCATTCCATTGATTTCAAACCAACAAACTGCGAGAAGCTCCGCAACCTCAGGGAACCTGTTTGTAATTAGGCATGAATTATAGACATTAATCTTCACAGATTTATTCATTTAGTTGGTGAAGACATCATGCTTGCCTTTTTTCTGCATTTTCTGTGTGGTGTGTTCATGTGTGTGTGTGTGTGTGTGTGTAAGAGAGAGAGAGAGAGAGAGAGAGACCTGGAATCTGGTACGGAGTTCCAACTCCAATAACGAGGAGTATCACCCCATGTAATTGTGAGGTCCCTGGCAGCTAGCATGTAACATTTCTTCCCACTCCTTTAGTGCAGTGAAAAGCTCTGTGCAATGCAGGTTATACAATTAAAGACTCAACTGGTTCTAAAAAAGTTGGCCTTAAAAAAAAAAAAAAAGCTAGTACTGAAAGGAATAGTTTGGAAAAGAGTAACGATCAAGCTTCAAAATATCAACAAGGAACCAAAGGAACACATGAACTCACCATAGGAAGGAAGTAATCATCATTAATCATTACATCACCAACAAGAACATAATCCTCTAGCAAGCATATTCCAAAAAAAAATGAAGCATTAAATTTGAATACTCAAGCAACACATCCATTAAGTTTTGTAAATTATACCAATAAAAATTTTTGTAGTTAGCTGCTTATAGACATGAATTTAGGACCATCAACACACAAGGAAATTACACCTAGTCATGTGCCCTCTTGACAAGCCATATGCTACACACAAAATAAATGTTAAAACTCCTTAAGAAGTTTGTAAAAGAAACAAAATTGAAGGTGTTAAAAAGTTCTTAGGCAAAATCATTCACAGCAGACATAGAGTGGATAACTCAATTAGCTACACACAGCAATTGATCGAAAAAGGAAGGCATTACCAGAATTTGTTTTTTGTTTTAAGTTTACAAACTGAGCTGATTCATACTCAGTGCAAACAATGAAATCTTACAATATACACATGTCGAGTGAATGCATATAGATTCAAGTGTCTTGTTGGGTGAAAAACTGAAAAGATTAATACTGTAGTTAAGATTGTGAGATTTAGGGTTGTGAGATTTTATTAAGGGTATGTTTGGTTTGAGGGAAATGGGAAACCAAACATACCTTAAGAAAACATGTACTGCCTTATTTAATTTAGTTGTTTTAATTTAAAATTTTAAATAGGAAAATGCATAATAATTGAAAATTTTTCCTATACATAAATTGAGTATTTTCACTTAAATTTTTTTTTTCAATTGTCATTTATCTGTTATACAACATCATTAAGTTAATTTCGTATGAAATTGATGAACCAGGAGAACTAAAAAGAACCAAAGAGGGAGAAAATCATTTTCCTGTGAACACAAGACCCCACACCAGTGGCGGAGCTAGGAAAATATATTTAAGAGGCAAACTAAAACTTTAACCCAAAAAAGATAACTTTGTGTGTGAATTTAAAAAGTAAAAGAAAAAATTTAATAACATTCATTAGTCATTAAAGATATATTAATAATAGTTGATAATGTAATATAAAAACTATTGGTTGAAACATAAAAAAAACATATATTATGTTAAATAAGTA